AAAGGAAGAACTTCGTTGCCCACGGCTGCAGGATAAACACCGGGCCTGGAGGCTCACCAGAAGGGCACATGGAGGGCTCGGAGGCAACCCAAAATGTGAGTTCAGGGTTCTGAGGCACATAAAAATGCAAACGGGACATTTCAAAACGTCCTCAAAAATCTGAGAACATCAGAAAGCAAACTGGGGGACCCGATGGTGCACCTAGATGAAAAAGGTGGTTCCCGCAGGGCAAGTGCAAGTCCTTGGGGTGTGTGGGAAGGCAAGTGAAAACCACAAGGCATAGGTTTCTACAGCATTATCACTGGTGTACTTGGGAGTAAGTCACCATGTAAGAGCCTGTGTGTGCATCTGTGTCTCCCTTCCACCTTCTTGGGATTGTTCCCACCACTGTCCTCACTTTCATTATTGAATTTCTCATGCAAGGACAGCATGTAAGCGGACACTTTTTAGTAACTGACTCATTTGCTTGCCTTGCCAGATGTGCAGTGGCTGCTGGATGAAAACAAGAGGTCTGAAAAAGTCCTGGCTATTACCAGGAGGGATATGGACAATAGGACAAGGAGCTCCAGAAGACCTTGGTGAATCCACATCCTCAGTACTGTACGCTGTCACATTCTCTGCACCTTAGGAAGGACAAGGTTTTGAGTTGGAAAGGTACAAAGCTACCATCTTGTATAAGGTGAGCCTAAACAGGCTGCAGTTTCTAACATCCCTAACGGTGGAGGATATGAGAGGCATGGATTGCAGAAAGAGGCAAGACTTACGCACTCTTCCTAAATAGCATCTCCTGTGCTACTGTTAGGGACAGGGTACTGGTACAGATGATAGCTCCGGCCCAGTAGGACGCTTTGTATATTCTTAGGACACATGGTACAGAGAAGAATGGAGTGGAAAAGTTGTTATGTTTTAATTACTTTCACAGCCTCTGTCTTGTATACTGTTCGGCTCAATCAGTTTCTTTGTATCGTAGACCTCTTTCTCCACTGAAACAGTAAATACCAATCGCAGTGGCTGAAACCCTGAAATGATTAGGAATGTCATAATTAGATTGCAGAGGAAAACATATCTGTACATTTTTGAGTCTCTAAACACAGTATAGCTCAGAAATAAAGATCAAAATTTTATTTCCATGTTGGTAATAAAAATAATTCCATGACTTCTGTAAAGCATTGCATAAATGCTATAGTGTAGAAAAGTTTTAACAAGTGTTAACAATCTTAAACAGTTCACTACAAGTAAATGAGTATGCATTATAAATAATGTTTTGTATTAAGAACAATTTCATTCACAAAATCATTTCTGTCAGTACACTCAAAACATTGACGGCTTACATAAATTAGAGTAAAATTTCCATATTTATTTAGGGTCTGATGATGACCACAGTTACACAAGCAGAGTGTGACAGTAATAATATTACTACCTATATGTAATACTAGGATACTCTGAATGGCAATACAGAACAAAACAAGTATGTCTTTAATAATCTGCTATTCAAAGACGACTAATAATAAGCCTATAACATGCAGTTTGGGATCTATCTGTAATTAGCATACTTCTGGTTAAATTACAGCTCCTAACTGTAAAAACTCTGAGAAATCACAATTTTAATCTGTTATTCCCCAGGCTAAAATAATAGTGACAACATAATGACATTCACATAAAAAATTATATTCTTACATAAATTAACACAGAACTTTGTCAAATACCAAAATGAATCTTGAAAATCTATTTGGTTTGCTTTTATGTATTTTGTAAATTCAGCAAATTACTGTACTGTAGTCTTGCTAAAATATAATTCTAGTGTATCCAGTTTCTAGATAGTGTATATAGTACAAGGATGAATGCTTATAAAGGTCAGGTTTCACTTCTGACTTCTTCCAAATAGTCGTCTCTAGTCAACTGCATATATTTTATTATCCTCCATTTTAAAGTACTAGTGTAAAAGTACATATTTATTTGTATTTGCAATTGACTTGCTTTAATAAGATACAGAAAACTTTGTTTGTAATTTTTCACAAAAGGAATTTTGTGAAGAACAACTTCTTATTTTCATATGACTGCTATGTATGATGATGCATGGTTCAAGTGATTACCTAAGGATTCATCTATAGTTATAGCAAGCTGCCCAGTCTGAGAATTTCACCCATAGGTATATTTCTTTTGTATGTGTTTTTTCCTTCTCCACAAAATGGTTTGTTGATAGTTTTTAATATGTCTGTAACTCAGGACCAAAGAAACTTACAGGGAACACCTGCAAAATTTCCAGTACTGATATTACTATAGGATACACATCATTATTTTCAAGATTCACCGTTGTAAAACACAAAACATACAACTTTAAAAAGCAACAGACTTACCATATTAGTTCATTTCCTCTAAAAATGCAGCACTTATAAAATCTGAATGTCAATGTGATGATTCACACTGCAAGTGCTGTTTACATTCTTTTTTTGTTGGTGTCGTGAGATTAGGAAAATCGCCTGTTACTACCAAAAACAAAAGGGACCACAAAATAGCCCTAAGACACAGGCAAATGCACTAAAATACACATGAAGAACTATAAACTTTGACAAGACAGCACAAAACCACGCTTCCATATCTTGTGGGTAACAAATGTCACATAGCTGCACATGGGCAGCACAATGTGGCCTAAGCTGTTTTCTTCTAAAATACCAAGCAAAAATTTTCACTAAGATATTTCTAAATGTTTTTGTGAGCACAATGATTGCAGAATGCTGTTCCACACTAGATAAATATAGTAAACCGGTGTCCAAAATAACTGCTTGTTTCAAAAATATGTAACACATTTTCAAACTATAATTACACATTAGTCTTTGATTTGCTCACTGTTTAAAAAAAAAAGACAAACCTTAGACATAACTAAATTTGCTTTAGTCTAAAATGCTGTTAAGGTTCAAAAATCAGTCTTTTTCATAGACTGCACTGGTGCAAAAAATACATTAATACCTACCACCAAACTTGGTGATCCAAGTTCCTTTTTTTAGAAGCCTAAAGCTGGCTACACCTTTAAAACGGCAATATTTTATTTTAGGACAGAAAAGTGTGTTTGAAAAATGCAAATACAGTCCGATTTTATACTTCTCTCAGTACAAATGTTTTAGGGGAACTGCGTTACAGTCAACAAAATCACGTTATTAAACCCAACTTCAGTCTTTAAAGTGATCTTCAGACAAAATTTTGAAACAGAAGCAAGTAGAAATGTATTTAACATTTTATCCTACTTCTTCCTTCCCAAAAGGCCTGCAACGTTCCTGCCGATCGACATGTCTTAGGAAAGCAGCGACAAGTCTGTACATTTAGTTCTCACAGAAAATGTGTAATGATTTTTTGCTAACTCAAGCCTTTGTACAAAGAATGCTAAAACCAAAAGGAGATCGTGATTTCAGTACTACTGGCTTGGGCCCTTTATTTAATGCTGATACAGTTCTAAAAGCTCTATCTCGACAATAATAACTTTAGTATACATCTTGATTTTTGTTTTAGCATGACTGAACTTTAAATAGATTAACTCTTTGCTGCCTGTGTGAACTCACTTTTTGTACTGAATGCAGTAATACGGAGATACAAATCATGTAACACAGTAGTAGGTCATTTCAGTTGTACTAGTGTCACACCTGAATTTAACAGGAAAAGCAGTAATGCAGGCCATTATTCCATGTAAGAAAAGTAAACATATACAGTGTTAACATGCAGTAATTAATTTAACTGCTCCTCCTGAATTGCATGTTCCCAACTACCAGGATAAAGTAAGGATATTGCCACCTTTTAAAAGAATCACTGTGTGAAAATGCCACTGCCTGATTACATACGTAAATAATTTTGTAGTTCCTTTCAAACATGCACTACTTCATTACTGGAAAAAGTGTATTTTTAAATATTTATAAAAGTGAGAGATGTATTCTAGTTATTGTCAAATTGTTCAATACAAAATTAGGCAATAGAAATTATTTTCAAAATTATTTTTTTATGTCTTCTGCCATTTTATATGATATTGGGCATAGGCACTTGGTAATATTATATATATCGTATCTGCTTCCAATGAGTACCACACAGGTTAGGAGATGTACAAAATCTTTAAGACTACAAACATCTAAACTGAGGGAAATATGCAAATGCACAGTTGTTTACTAAAACTGATCTGTTTCAGAAAATTGAAAACATGTCTTTGAATATGAAAGCATGTGTCTCACTGTTTTTGTCTCCGCTGGTGAATTTATAAATACTATAGTATGCAGTTAACTTATAAATTGTAAAAAAACTAAGTTAGTTGTCATTTCTATTTAATCATATTATGATTTAACAGTAAAACCATGTGAAATGTTTTAAATTCACAGTACACATATAACACATCATATTATTGCATATTAAAAAATAAATGTAAGACCTAGAAAGCAGCTTGAAGCAATTTACAACATATTTCCTAACAAAACACAATAATTTAAAAGTGCTTTTATATTAATCAGTTTTTTCCAAACATCCAAGTAAACATAGTGTTAGACCGATTCCAAAATACTGGCTCTGGCATTCCACACACAACAGACATGGCAAAGGGACCATTTGTACTGTCCAGTGTGTAGTTACTGTATCTATGTATCCATCTTCTGTTAATGAAAATAACAGGTATAAACACTTTATTCAGGCATTATGGTAAGATTTATACAAAGTGATTACAGTGCAAATGAACCTAAGTAGCTTCTGCACTGGGAATGTAAGTAGAAGTCAGAAAAACCTGTGGTGGGATCAGAGAATAATGAAAGAACCTCAAGACTACACAACCTCATGAAATGACAAGTTGATATGTATAGGTGAGCAAGCCTTATTCTCTATCTTAAAGCAACTAAGTTTCTCACATCAAAATGGAAATCAATCTAGCACTATTAAATGGATTAATTATGAGTGATATAATTCTTATATAAAATACAAAACCATAAAATTATTTAATTCATGAACATGATATGAGTACTATGCCTGTATGTTACCACAGGTGGTTTTTTTTCTTGCAGCAGGGACATTCTTCTTGTGCAGCTGCACAGTGATCACAAAGTACATAATGTTGACATGGATTCAGGATAATGCTACGATCACCCTCCTGACATACAACACACTTCTTTGACTGAAGCTGAAAAATCACCTGTAAAAAGATTATTGCACTCGGTGAAAATGATTCCAAAGCATACAGGTGTGTTCTAGCAGCTTTATCTAGCTTTATCTCCAGAGGTCCCTTCTAATGTCAATGATTCTATGCTTCAAGTCTGCACTGGCCTCTCTGACTACACAAAATTCTAGCAGGGAACCTCACCACCTACCTTCTAAACAAGTGAAAAGCAGGTAACTGTTTCATTTATTTAGGGTAACTATTTTTATTTATTTAGGTAGTGCCTGAAACGTTTGGGGTAAAAGCTGGCTTAAAATCTTTTTTTTAATCACCCCAAGAATTCTTGTAAACCACTTGTAATTTGTTCTGATAGCTGATCAAAAACTTAGAAGAATCCATCAGGTTGAGAAATCTGAACCATCCTCTATTCCAGAAAAGACAGACTTAATACTGAGAGCAATGTTGCTCTTTGAAATGAAATCTGGCATAAATATGTCATTGAAGGTTTCTGAGCTGCCAGTTTCAGTTTATCAAAAATAGTTATGCAGATGAAGAAACTCACCTCATCTATTGTTTCTAAATCTAAGTGCAGCCGATTTTGTAAGGAACGAAGCTTTGGCAAGGATATCTTTTCTATATCTCCATAATTTTTCATATAAGGTAATGTAGTAGATAGACAAGCAGCTAATTGCACCTTCAGCTTTTTTAAGTTATTTTCCACTTCCTCCTTCTTCTGAAGAGCGAGTTGCTTGTCCGCATCTGCGATGTTAGCACGTTCTTTTGCTTCTTGAGCCTCTTTCTGCCATGCCTCACATGCCTGGGAGAAAGATTTCCAGAATATAAAAAATAAATTTTTAAATTAACAATAGAAGAGCAAATTCAAAAACCTTCAAAGATGTAGGTAATCTCTAATTTTAGACATAGCAGTGCATTTACTGTCAATTTAACACTTCGCCCTACTTATCCTACCTTCTAATTAACAACTCTTCTTGTTTTGACTTAATGTAATTTTTAGGTATGTCACTGTTACTTGTCTGTAAACAGCCAGAAGCCTTTTTGGAGCTCTATAAATGGAACACATTTTAAGTGTTAAATTCATAATTTAATGTCAAGAGACATCAAAAACTATCAAAAAAATTTAGTACAGCTACTTAGCCACTCCTTCTCACAGAGACAACATGAAGAGAAGGAAAGGACTACAGAAAATGCACTAGACTGGCAGTTATCTACAACCTCAGTTTGACTGCTGAGATGGCTAGGTACTGTCCAGGTACACTACACAACCACAGCTGCTGGCATGCATCTACTTTTTTTGCGTGCTTATCATCTGAAAGAGGTATGGGCAGGAATGTATGTCTTTAGTTACTTAAACATCAAGATATGTTGCTGTTCAGACCTATCCTGAATATGTGTAAGTGTCCCTGTCTAGAGAGGCAGATCAACTTTCAGAAAATGAATTGCCGTTTAAAAAGCTCAGTTTATTTCATGCCACTAGCTCATTTTGAGGATGGAAAAAACGTTCCTTTGACAGATTGTAATAAAACTCTGGGTCCAGGGATAAAAAGAAAAGGAAGAGCAGTAGGAGCTGCTTATTTGTTAAAAAAAAAAAAAAAAGTAACTTAATATTACCATAAATGAGCGCACCTGTTTTACTTGTTGCCAAGATTCTTCCCATTGTTTTAGTTTTCTCTTGGCATCATCAAGTTCCTGTCTAACTCTAGTTAGTTCGTTCCCACTGGTGTTTGAACTTATTGAGGGAGTAGTGCCACTGCTTAGTACTGGGGATGGACTAGGAGAGAAATTCCCAGTTATAAAGTCCCAAATGCTCCCTGTAACACCATTCAAACCTGTAAAACAAAGGCAGAAAAAATAATCATTCTGCACACACTGCTGCAAAATGTTTCATGTGCAGAACAGATATGCCACATATGCAAAATTTATACTTGTATCTGCAGGACTCATGACATTATTTCACTACCTTCAGACATGTGACAGTCTGGAGAATGTTTACGGTATTAGAGCAACTCAGGAGACTTACGACATGTTTTTTTTCTTGCTGCTTTTAATAAAAGACAGTACAGTCCACAAAAGGAGAAGGAAGAGTGGGAATGAATTTGTATACAAAAAGCTTTGTTCATAGCAGCTCATACATAATTTTAATTCTTCCTCTTTCTCTGTTTTGTATTTTCCTTTAGCAAATGCTGCAGCTAAAATGCATTCCTCCTGCCTGTGTGCCAACTGCTACATTTTACCCCTTCCAAATGCCTCTGTAAATATCTCGCCTTCCAAGAATTCTTTTTTTCCCTTCCCTAGGAATGGAAGTTCACTCCTTGAACTTTCTGCCACATTTAACTCCATTATCAGTGGTGTTATGATTTATAATAGCTAGGCTTTGTTGTCCCGATTAAGTCCGAAGAAACATGCAAAGCCTTGGGCTGAACATTTCTTACCTGTCACTGAGTTCCCTCTTACAATATACAAAGTGCGGCTTTCAACTTACTTACCTAAAGAGCTGTGAGGAGAGGATGAGGTGCCTAACATACTATGTTCTGTCTTCAAAGGCTGAGGTTGCTGGTGGTGAGGAGCCGTAGTGGATGAAACAAAAGACTGAGACAGTGATTGTGAAAGAGAACTGAGTGGAGAGGTTGAAAGGGATGATGATGAATGTAAAGATGAGGAACGAACAAGAGAACCTGGAATATTGACAGGTGCTGAACTTCCCAGTAATCTTTGACCTATGTATGCATTAGAGGGGGGAAAAAAAAAAAAAATATTCGTTCCAAAGCAGTACACAGCTCTCTGTAAGTATTTTTCTGAAAAATGTATCAAATGTAAATTAAATTATATATTCAAATACCTGCCATTAAAAAAGAAAACTTTTATTTATCTCCTATTGCAAAAATATTTTTTAAAATGAACACTTGAAAGTAGTTTTCCAAGTGCCTGAAAACAGAATTTGTAGCTTTACACAGCAGTGGCTTCATCTGCAGCTACAAAGAAAGAGAAAACACTTTTCAGATTAAGTTATTCAATTTACTAATTTTTACAAACAACCAACGCAAGTGGAGAAACTGACTGAAACTTAAGGGAATAAGAAAAATTTGGGTTTTATTTTAACATATAAACTGGAGTTAAGCAAGTAAGACTACATACCTTGAAAATCATAGACACAGCTCAATTTCTTTCCTCTACATACTTTTGCTTTTGTTCCGTAGATTTTAAATATCAAATGTACTTAACTCTCTATGAAAACTGAGTTTGAAGCAAGGTAAAAATTAACAATAATTTAGACAAACAAATGCATTATTCGTAATTTCCCAGAATAATGATAATAATAAAAAATAGATATTTAAAAAATGATGTTCAATCATGCAGTTACTTAAACAAGCATGCACAGGTACAGTGCATTTTCCTGGTCACGAAAGAGTTCAATATTTACTGTGAAGATTTTATTCATCAATATGTTTGAATAGCAACTAAAAATTACATCACCTTTTCTTTAAAAAAATATAGCAGTCAAATGATTATACTTAAAGCAAGAGTCATGATTCTAGTTTTCTGGTTTTGCTTAAAACAGGTGAATTTATGTCATCAGACAAAACATCATTCCTTTTAGAAGTATTTCAAAACAAAAAGACAGGGATGCTCATTATAAACTGCACTGCCACAATGTCTTCAAAAAAATGTATCTTGAAATACTCATCAAATGTTACCAAGATCAGCCTCAAGACCAATTATATGAGGAGGATATAGGACAGACATATAACCACAGATGTACATAATATACCAGACAATAAATGTACACTGCTCTTCGCAAGAGGAGCAAGGAGCAAGATTAAAAAATCTGGCCAAGTAAGAATTCTCTTAAAAATTAAGAGCCAAAGTAAAGCCCCTAAACAAACACTGTATGAAATGATAGCAGAAGAACCATCTCTTTTCTGGTTCTTAAAGCAGTCTTCCAATCCAGTTGGATTTTGGCAAATACAGTCTGCCTGCATGTCTTGAGTTCATGGGGCAAGGTTTTGGTAGTGGAGGGGCGGGGCTGCAGGGGTGGCCAGGAGAGGCCAGGGGCTGCCCTGTGCTGGACCACAGCCAGTGCCAGCTGGCTCCAATGGACCCGCTGCAGGACACAGCTGTGCCCTTCAGCCACACTGGTGGCAAAAAAATGCCACACAGGCAGAGCAGGAGGGAACAAAAGGTGTGAGAAACAGCCCTGCACACACCAAGGTCAGGAAAGAAGGAAGGGGAGGCCATGCTCCAGTCACTGGAGCAGAGATTTCTCTGGAGCAGTGATTCCCCTGCAGCCCATGGAAGGCCTGGAAGAGACCAAGGTGGAGCAGATATTTCCCTGCACCCCGTGGAAGAGACTACAATACAAGCAGGAATTTCACTGTAGCCTGTGGACAGGACCAGGATGGAGCAGATGGATATTGCCTGAAGGAACTACAGCCTGTGGGCAGCCCATGCTGGTGCAAGTTCTCCTGACAGGAACTGCAGCCTGTGGAGAAGACCCATGCTGGAGCAGGGACAAGTGTGAGGAGGAAGAAGCAGCAGAGAGGAACTGTTATGAACTGATCACTACGCTCCATGGCCTTACGCTGCTCGGGATGGGAAGGGAGAGGTAGAAGAGTTGGGAATGAACTTGAGCCTAGGGAAAAGGTGACAGAGGTTGTTTTTGGTTTTCTCTTTGTTTCTCACCATTCAACTCTATTTTAATTGGCAAGAAATTAATTTTCCCCAAATCAAATCTGTTTTGCCCATGACAGCAACTGGTAAGTGATCTCCCTGTCTTTATCTTGACCCGCAAGCTTTTTCATCTTAATTTTCTCCCCCTGTCCCGCTGAGGAAGGGGAGCGAGAGAGCAGCTGGATAGGTGTCTGGCTACCCACCAAGGTCAACCTATTACACTGCATGAATTATCTTCCACATACAAATAAAATTGGTTACAGTATTTTCTTCCTGTTCCATACTTCATGGTACTTCCAATGAAGCATAATCATTCCTGCAGCATAGAACAAGGCAATAAGTGAAATACCAGTCAAACAAACTATAGCATCAGGAGAATTGTTGAGCCTGACATCACCAGCAGAGAAATAAATTTGAGATTGCACACATTATCAGTTTCTTTTCAGGTCTGTATGAAGGGAAATATCATGAACAATAATGGAAGATGTTCATAGGTAACGTATAAACTGTTCTGGTGAAGGAACAACCTGTTAGCATCATCACTGGACAGAAAATTGTAAGAAGTCAATCAATAAAAATAAATACAAAGCCCTAAAACCCCTGAAAATATTCGCCCTAATATTATTGATGAGAATCTACATAAAACTAGATGACTCCTTATTGAGACTGTAACATTTTGGGTCATTCTGTGTGGATTCCCTAATAACCTGAAGAATACAGGTATCACAAATACAGCCTCTACTAACTAAGAACCACCTTGGGAGAAAACACAGTCAAAGTGGGAGGGGCACCAGAGCTTGTAGCACTGTTGTCAAGATCTCAGAAATTAGTATTCCATGTAAGAAACATCTTAATCGGTACGATCCAGCACCAGTTTCTTCTAGCTCTTGCTATCAATAATTAAGCCACTGCTACAATCTGCCTAGATCTACTTGATGCCAAAACATCAACACCACCAAATGTGAATTGTAAACTGCTTCCCCAAATGCTCTGCTCAGATCTGAAGACAGAAGCATGTCACCAGTCACTTTACATAAGGCATCTGCAGCCCACTTTCAAATGAGCGAGCTGATGAAAAAGTCCCTTTCAAACCAAGTGACTTTCCTGAATTCTGTATTAGCTCTGAAGCTTCATATATCCACACACTACTGGGGTGATAAAATTAGTGATCTTGCCTAGAACTGTCCCCTTTCACTGCAAAGGAAGCACTTGGAGGAGGAAAAGTTTGAAGAAGAATCTCTCTGGACATCTGTGTTATTTCTGAAAAGAAGCAACTTACAGTTGCTTATAAAATATGCTTTCCTGACGGAGCAAGGGCACTTGATGTTCACTTGGGTCAAAATTATTTCCATGCCTTATGACAGTCTTGAATCTGTAATGCTTGGGTACTGTCCCTGTAGTCTGTACTATCCACTGCAGTCCCAGTGACAGCTTACATACTTAACAACATCAAATATATCGGTATATTTGTTAAGGCCAGTGGACTAAAGATATAATAATTATCTTAAAGGAAGAAAAATTGCATAATGTATAGAGACACTAAGTGCAAGCTTTTCCTCTTGGAGCAAGTCAGCAATAATAAACTAGAGTGCAGATATAGTTGTTTTACTCTTTGCTTATAGAGCCACAGGGCAAGAAGAACATAGGTGGAACACGTTTGCCATCCAAGAATACAGTTTCGTTTGTGCAAGTGGAAGCTTAACACATATGCACAACCAACTTAATGATCACTGTAGACCTCCTTCAAAGAAATGCTAGCAAAACAAATACCAGAAAATGAATATAATTATTACAAAAATGTGTCTCTTCTCTTGTTCTATGACTCTCAAAGGAATATGGTAACGAAATTATAGTTCCTCAGTTCTCACTTCCTTTTTTTTTATTGTTTTTCCTCTTGGTTATTTTATTTTTTCTACTTTCACAAAGAAAAGGTGGTGTTTTAATTTCTTGATGTTCCCCCCCTTCATCCTTCCTTCCTGCTCTCTCTTCCCTGCACTGGTCTCCTTTGCTATGTCTTCCTCTCCTCTGCTTTCCCAGAATAGGCCAAATGGCTGAATACTTCCCAACAGGCCTTCCAGTAAATTGATCATTCCAGGTTAGATTCATAGAAAGATTAAGTCCTTAACTTGCAAGTATTAAAATCCTAAAGGTTGCTAGCTCCTTCTCCTCAAGTATTGTCCCCACTCCCCCTCTTGACAGCCACCTAACCATGGAAGTACTTGTCAGTCCCCACAGCACATACTGCCTGCTGTCATTTGCAGCACTCAACATGCAGGCAGTCAAGCTCGAGCATAATGCCGTGCTGTAAATGCATATAAGTCCTTCCATCAACTATTATGCCCATGGGCCCAAGTCATTCAGCATGCTAAAAAAAACCCAACTAAAACATTTAATAGACATGCCTTGCAAAATACAGACAGGATGATAGCAGTGCAATCCCTGTACACCACAAAGTTCAACCACTGGAGCAAAACTGAGGACTTTTCTTCAGTGTCTTTGCTGTCTAACTATTTTGATGAGTAAAAGTTTAGAAAGGTAAGAAAGAAAGATATTTTAAATGAGTATAATTTTACAAACTGGACCTCTTACTTGCTAATCCAAGGTCACTGCTTTCTTGATCTTCTAATTCTCTATCTATGGATGCGACGTTCACATCATTAAAACGCAAATCTAAAGCAGAACCTGTTAAACAAAACATTGTATCAATGAATTATCCTTAAATTATCCATAAAACTATAATTATGGCTGAAATGAGGAAACTTTACTTGACTATTTTTGTTAGTGTTTCCATCATAGAACTCTTTTGCATTTAGGTCATGATCTTAAGTGTACTACAGACACACAGTGAAAGATATCCTCTGTATTTTCTAAAAGGGAAACCTTTCATATATAAGCTATTGCAGCTCTTCAAGCTGGTGAGATGAATAGAGGATAATGGAGAGGTGGCTATCTATCTGGATTTTCAATAAATCTGTGTCACCTGTTAGGCTTAGATGTTCATCAACAGAAAAAGAGGAAAAAAAAATTTGGATAGCTATGTAAATATATTTTTTATTATTATTGAATAAAACCAGGTATTATACCTGAGGAAAGGCACTGTAAATGCCCCTTACAACAGTTAGCCCTTGGGGTAACAAAATTACATATTAGGGCATACAGATGTAAGGAATGTCAGAATATTCAAATGAAAATGTGCAATATTTTAACATAAATAAAGTAAAAATCAAACCCCAATATTTCATTTAGAATCAACAGTTAGACTGCCTTTCATTTTAAGGCTTATGTTGGTCTAAAGTTTCTCTGGGCAATGTCATGAAAAAGTTCTTTTCAGTATACTTCTTAGTAGGTTCACCATTTATAAAGTGTTAGAAGATGGGTATTTTTTTTCCTTCTTCCTCTTAAATTCTTTTCTGCACAGAAAGGAGTGTGATTAAGGAATTTATCCCTCTGTATGTATACTTTAACTAATGTCGAACAACTGCACAGTCAGGAAGACAGGAGAGAAGTCTGCATAAATATTTATTTTACAGATAGGAAAGTGACTAACCCAGTCACTATGGTCAGTGATAGTGATCACCTTTCTAAAGAATTTCTAGACTTTATGTTGAAAATCATTATTAAAACCTGGTACAAAGCCTAAATGAGTTGAAAAGGAACAAACAGAAATCAAAAGACACACTGGCTTGTGTAAAAGTTTCCAGAAGATCCAAAAGGGATCTCTTGATCCCTTTGGAATTAGACTGATTCCTCTCTCATAGCCTAGTCCTAAACATTAGGCACTGTAAACTGCAGAAAATCTTTGGCAGAAGCACTAGACAGTTGTAAAAGTGCTAAAAGTCAGAAACTGAAAGGACCATTTGGATCATTAATACAAGATCAGAGCAGCATTATTATGTACAGGCATTTTCTAATGTTGACTAGGCTATCTAACGGACTCCACAGTCTCGGAGCTCCAGATAATACATAAAGTGAGTTACTGACCTAGAAGCAGGCTCCACAGAACAGTGCTACTGCCTAAGCTGTCCAGAACAAAATACCAGCCAAGAGATAAAGTTCACATACTACACAATGATGCTGACGACAAAGAAACCTGAGAGTTAACATAGCTCTTTGTGAAGAGTTACTAGTCTGGGTCTCAAAAAGCAACACAACTTTATTAGTATGGAGTTGTGCCCAAACAATAATCCTTATCTTTCAGCAGTACTGACAAAGCAGCTTGGTGTCCAACAGTCAGAGGGAGGAAGCTCTCCCTGCATCATTATTTTGGCCTGAAGGGACATGCCCTAGCTTTTCAAAGTTTTCCAGCAATAACCTTCTCTTGGAGACAGGTGCCTAAGCCAGTCCTTCTATACAATAGAGTAAGGAGGGGAGATTAGAGTGGCCACAAGTGCTGTGTGAAACCCAGATTAGAAGTCCCTCTTCCATATCGGGTTTCGGATTCCCATGCTGCACTGTGTCTTCCCTACTTTTGCCTTTTATATGGGTAAGGGCCTTTTATCTGCAACACTGTAGCCTGCCTATCTTGCCCTGTCACCCAGCTGCTCTGGTAGTGCCTTTTTTGTTCTCATGCTCACTATCTTGTTAGGCTCACCATCTGGCACCTGCCAACCCTCAGAGCATTGTTATGTAGGTTCTCAGGGGAAGTGACTGCCGCTGGTGTGAGAATAACGGTTCCTTTCTCCCCTTCTCCTACTCCTGATTGCAGCTTTTGATTTACATTAGAGGGACCCAATAACATCTTTGGACACAGCTCAACAATCAATTAGCATGCAACACCATCCATTGACCAAAGTGTGCTCCAATTAACACTAATAGCATCATAAGCTGGAAGAGTCCATAAGGAGTTTCTGATGGTCTGGATGAAAAACTATAGTTGATACTGTTAATATGTGAAAAGTATTATGTGGGAGAGAACCAGCTGCTGCACTGGAGAGGATGCTCGACTGCCCTGCCTGTCACTTCTTTTCCCACCTGGCTGCTGGGACAGTTTGCTCCTTCCGTTTCTTCTATCTCTCTTTTCTTACGTTTCTATATTTATCTGGAAATAATTTTCACCAATATGTGCTGTCAGCTATGCAAACCACTAATAAATCTTCACACATGTGAACCTGTGTCAACATCCTTTGTCAAAAACTGCCCTACACCTGTGAAAGCAAACCTCTCATCGCTATGTTGCAGGATATTCTGGGAGAGATCCCTCTCACTTTCACCAAGTGAAGCTGTTCCTTTCAAAAAATTCAAAATTCTCTCAAATCATGAAAAGAGAGGCTTTAAAATCCCATCATTAGCACTGTCATTATCTTTGAACAAGGAAACAAACTTTTATTCATGCTCTTGCAATTCCCTACATCACCCAGATGCTATTAATATTTGAAGTTATTGGCAGTGTCTGGCTCAGTATGTTGCTATGCAAGTACGACAAGCAGCAACAAAACAAAATGAGGCTGATATAAATCATACTGCTTAAATAGTAGATCAAATCTAAGCCTGCACCCTTTCTAAATCACTAACCTGTCATGTTCTCCTCATGTGAGGCCTTAACTCATTCTGCCACACTCGTCCTCCCCTACCACAAAAAGGACTGACATGTCTCCTTACAGTTTACTATCTAGATTTTTGAAGCTCCATTTCTGATACCCTCTGGCTCTCTCAGATTCCACCTCACATAGTGGAAAGTCAGTGGAGTGCAAGGAGAGAACACAGACAGCATCTTAAGATCACAACATATATAGGAAGCAAATGGAGAGATACCAATTTTCCTTGAATGGCAAGTCCCAGACAAGCAAAATCCCCATGCTTGAGTATCCAATAGAAAGCAACGGAAGCAACCAAAACATTCCCAGGGGGAGGTCCACCCAGAACCTAAAACAACAGGGTGGCATCTCAGGCTGCCAGATGTCCCCTAACGGTAAGGTCCCACGTTCTCCTTACTACCACTTGATTCGTTTCCCTTCACTGCTGCCTTTTCTCTATTTATTCCTCTCTAAATATGTCTCCTTTACCAATTTGCTTATCTAATTTCTCTATTCTCTTTTTTTTTTTTTTTTTTTAATTTCCAGGAGGATTTCAAACACCCTGCAGTTTTTACATTCTCAGATTATATTTCCTTTTTTTTTACCAGAACAAAATCAGACAACTCAACCACCCTCCCTTGACTCTGACAGGAGTAGACTGCAACAATGTACCTTCTTTCCCTCCATCATTCCTCAGTTTTCAACATATTGTCCCAGCCTCAATGCTAAATACTAGTTCTATCTGATTGGTGTGCTTATCCCCAACTCCCCTGCACCTTTCTCTTCCCCAACTCTTGGGGACTGTTACTCAGGGAGCAGACAGACAGGGCTTGGAGCTCCCTGTGAGATCAAGATAAAGGGCCACAGAAAGGTCTCCAGAGTCCACTGTCTGACAAAGCTTCCTCAGTTCTTGCTAATGTAACTCTCCTGCATTTCCCCTAATCCGTTACCCAAACCCATTCATCCTTTTTTTTGCATAATCACCTAGCCCCTACCCTTGCTGTAGCTTTTTTTCTACCCCTTTTTAAAAATTATTCTTCAATCCACCACTTCCTACAAGAACACTACGTATTTATTTTCTGTTCTACAATAACATCTTAATTTTCTGCTCTATTCAGATTGTGTGCAGCACTTTATTTTCAATGCCAAACTGTTTATCCATGAAGCAGAACTCTGGAAAAAGAATTTTTATATATATCTAAATACATATAAGGAAAGAAACTAAAATCTATACAGTTACTATAAAGTACACTAACTTATACATACACAAGATGTGTACTTTATGACTCACGTTCTGTTAACAAACATAACATACTGAAAACTGTTTTAGAAAAACCTCTGTAGACAGCAGAGGCATATTCTAACTCGGAGGAACCAAGAGCCTCTTATAGTCAATAAAATAATCACACTGGGACATGGGAAACAGCGTATCACTGTTAAATGACTTTGCAACACTTGTTCAGTATACTATGATTTAAAAATTAGCACCACATCTAGTATACAGAAATTAGACTGTGGTTTTTATTGTTATATGAGTAACTTGTTACTGCCAACTAGCCTCTACTTATTCCAGAAGCAATGTTTATCTTGACAAAAATGTGATTTCATTCCATAGTATATCTTAAAATATTAACCGTAACCTGATGGAATTATATTACTTGCATAGAATAAAAACTAAAATTCTGCTTTTTCTAATTCTGACATTTTCAGTTCTAACACACAGATCCTCAAACAAGTGTTTAAGAAAAGCAAGCTATAATACTTATGAGACTGCAGAAAAAGATCCATCATTTAATATTGTGCATGGATTTCTTTCCTAAAAAAATTAAAAGAGCAAATGCCTAACTTACCATGCCGAAGTGCTGACTCACTGTCTGCAGTCTCCTGGTCGCTGCTACACATCGATTTAAACACAGAAAGCTTCAAGTACACCAGCTAATCACAGCAACTCCCTGATCATGTGACTTACACCACAGAAAGTGAAATACAGCATCTTTCAAATCACAACATTCCCTGCCACAGCCTCCTGAATAAACCAGATTTAGTGTAAAAGTGCCACAAATTTCAACAAGTTTGTGGATAACACTAAATTAAGGGGAGCAGCTGATACAATCGATGAGAGGACAGGACTGCTGTCCTCTCAAAAGGCTGGAGAACTGGACTGGCGGAAACCTCACACAGTTCTACAAAGTCAAACACAACAATGCTGCAGCTGGCAGAGAATAATCCCTTGCAACAGTATAGGCTGGTAGTCAAACGGTCAGAAAGCAGCACTGCAGAAAAAAATCCAGGAATCCTGACAAATGACACGTTCAGCACGGTCTGTGGCAATAAAAGCTAACAGCGTATCAGCCTGCCTTAGTAAAAGTGTAGCCAGCAGGTTGGGGAAGTGATTATTCCTCTCTATCCAGCACCTGTGAGACCACAGCAGGAGTACCATGAGCAGTTTTGAAGTTCCCAGTGTCTAATTATTATTGAAATATTTACCTCCTTTTACCATTTTCCACATAAACAGTCTAGCTGGTTGGAAGCATGGGAAAGGCTCTGGGGTAGTAACAGAAATTTTGGAAGTGAGTATTTCCCAGCATCTGCCTTGTGTACCCAGAAAGCAAGGGCTTCTCCTCTTTGTGTCCTTTCAGATCTGATCCACATAGTGTGAACAAAAGATTTTGTCCTTGAACATACAAATAACCAGACTGGAGAATATGCAGTCAGCCATAGAAAAATCTCCCATTTTCATGTGAACATGGTAAGATCTGTAATTGCACCTGCTATGGTAAAATAAAATAAAATAAAGTCAAATCTCATCAGCCCATCAACAGAAGTTGGGGAGACAGTACTTCTAGTAACACAGTGAGTTGCATTACGAAGGTTTAACACATTTTTTTTAAATCATTGGCCAATACCAATGCCAAAATTCCAGTTTAAATGTCCCATTCACTCATTCCTATGCTCACATTGGAGACCTTGTGAAAAATAATGATTTTTGCAGAAAATATTTAAATTGAATTTCAGATATTGCTTTTAATTACATATAATAAAGCAGGTGTGTACAACATTACTGTCTTTACCAATAAGCTTTTTGAATCTATGCTGAAACAAGAAGAACTTGAATAATGCAACAAAACATGTACAATCAGAGACTTACCTATTACCGATTCAACTGTGTTACTGCCAGAATAGAATGGGAGAGCTTTGGCACTGACAGAAGAGACAGTTGTAGGAGATGAACTATCTGATCCAACACTGGAGGCCAGACTGGAAGTTATACTTGAAGCGAGTGGGTTAACCACTGAAAAAACACTAAGATGGTTCTGTTAAAAAAACCCAAACAACATATGTATACACACATAAACACACTTACACAGATGTATGTACAAACATATAAAATAAACAGAATGTATTTTTTTGAAGTAGTTACTTTAATTCCAACAGAAAGAAATCCAGACGAACCCTCTGAATTAATAGATTAGGATCATTTTCATTATCATTTACAATTAAGTGCATCTCTCCAAAGTGGCTGGACATCACTACCATAAAAGGGAATTCAGCTTTCAGAAAAAAGGTATTTAAATACTTGCAAATAAGCTCTACAAACATAATTAGTTAGCTGAAGTTTGATGCTCCTTTTCAAAAGGAAAACATCTATTGAGGAATTGTACCATTTCATTATGCATTCATACAAAAATTACATACTATATTCATTTTTTTAATCTGCAAATTTTCTCATTTAATCTAAATGCAATTGGTGCATAAACTGATCTTTGGTTTAGATAGTTGAGAAACATGACTGCACTGCACACATGTATCACATTATATAATGACCTCTACCTGTGCTACTTATTTCTAGCTCAACTTTTCTTTTAATACAAATGACACATTTAAATTATAAAATGTAAGAAATGCAAACAATATGTAACCATGTAACATCCTAAACTGGAAAATAACTTCACAAAGTCTACAGGCACTTGGTGCAGAGTTTCCAGTATATTAATTCCTTTTATTATTTATTTATTCCCTCCAATCTTTTAGTTAACAAAACCAACATTTAACTGTGACAGAATCAATCCACAGATCCTCTGTGTGACCAGCAGTGATTGTGCAGTATCTAGTCTCCTGATTTGTACCAATACTACAGAAAATTTCTATTTCAAGGCTAGATACAGTGCAAGATTGAGGATGATAATGACCATGAGAATGAATGATTTTTTCTTTAAAAATAGCCACAAACTGAAATACAGCAAGTTTCACTCAGATACCAAAAATTTTTTACTGCGATGGAGGCCAAACACTGGAACATGTTGCCCAAAGAGGCTGTGGAGTCTTCATTTTTGGAGATACTCAAAACACTATTAGACAAGGCACTGAGCAACCTGCTCCAGCTGACCCCACTTTGACAAAGGGACAGATGGACTACAGACTTCCAGAGAATCACCAAATGGTTTGGGTTGGAAGAGACCCTTAAAGATCATCTAGTCCCACCCCCCTGCCGTGGGTAGGGACATCTTTCACTAGATTAAATGCTTGAAATGATGCTGAAAGCCCCACCTAACCTGACCTTGAATGCCTCCAGGGATGGGGCTTCCACCACCTCTCTGGCCAACCTGTTCCAGTGCTTCACCACCCTCATCGTAAAAAATTTTTTCCTTATGTCTAGTCTAAATCTACCCTCTTTTAGTTTAAAACCATTACTCCTTGTTCTGTCACAGCAGACCCCGCTAAAAAGTCTGTCCCCATCTCTCATACAGGCCCCCTTCAGGTATTGGAAGGCCGCAATGAGGTCACCTCGAAGCCTCCTCTTCTCCAGGCTGAACAACTCCAACTCTCTCAGCCCATCTTCATAGGAGAGGTGCTCCAACCCATGGATCATTTTCGTTGCCCTCCTCTGGACCTTCTCCAACAGGTCCATGTCTTTCCTCTGCTGAGGGCTCCAGAGCTGGATGCAATACTCCAGGTGGGGTCTCATCAGAGCAGAGCAGAGGGGCAGAATTACCTCCCTCGACCTGCTGGCCACACTTCTCTTGATGCAGCCCAGGATGCAGTTGGCCTTCTGAGCTGCGATTGCACATTGCTGACTCATGTCTAGCCTGTCACCCACCAGCACTCCCAAGTCCTTCTCCGCAGGGCTGCTCTCAATCACATCATCCCCCAGCCTGTACTGATGCTGGGTGCTGCCTTGACCCAGGTGCAGGACCTTGCAC